ACAACTTAATTAGTAGTGCCAAGTTAATTTCACACTCTTCGATTCAATTAATTTAAATTTGTACCACACATAAAAAACATAAAATGAGTAAATACTCATAACAAGAGTTTTCATTTTCAAGCTAAGATTTGAATCCGATCTAATTAATTAAGGGTGAAATGATCAGATCATTCATCCCGATATATTCCTTAATGGTAAGAGAATGTCACTTTTTTAAAAATAACTATATGATATAAGCCATAAGGTACTCGATCATGACTGACTCGAATAGTTTTGATTCGTTTTACGTAAGGCTAATAAAAGGAAAACAATACTCTATATCAAGTTTTCTTCGTTTTAAAGACCCGAGCTCAAATCTGATTAAATATAAAAAGATCTTATCCATTCCATTATATTCCAATTAACTTTATTAAACACTTTCTTTACAAGTCAAACCAACTTCTTGAGCCCCATATAGAAGGGCTAATTGTGGCCCAATCCTTTGCTTCATTTCTATATATTTTCTATTTTCTAATATTCCCACCAAAGATAAGATAAGAAACAAACAAAAGTGAAAATCATTAGATCCACATATAAATGATAAATATGATTAAACCTAAACATTTTTTAAACTTATAGGCAGTTAGGTTTAGTGTTGAAAAAATATATATTCTCTTATAAGCTTTCATTGTAGGACCTAATCTAATTCTAATTAACTCCTAAATCTAGATATCATAATTTCAGGTTAATTTAACGAACCCCATAATCACCATTGTACTATAATGTATAATACTATATGGACCCTGCATATATACATTTATGATGCATGGATTTTTGCCTCCTTTGCTCACCTCCACAATCTCAAAAATATTTTTTTTTTTTATAAAAAGAAGAAGAAAAAAAGTTAAACATATAGTACCATATAAAATAATAATCAAATTTAGTCATGGTTAGGTTGACTTTTTGAAATTTTTGTTTTTGAGAATAGGTAGCATAATTACCAAAAAGAAAAGCTAAAATTCTATTTTAAACAATAAAATTCTTAGCTAATCTTATTTGATGGCAAATTATTAAAAAATCTGTTAGCTACCAGCAATTTAGCACCGAAAAGAATTATTTGTGGATTTTTTTTTCTGATTTCTTTAGTCATGGAGTCATATTATTATGGTTAAGATAAGAAGTTCATAAATAAATTATTCCTAACTACGATAATGTATCATTTTTTAAAAAAAATATGACAAGAATCTAACGGTGGAATTTAAAGAATATAAACATTCACTCATAGATTTAATTAAAATAAAAATATATTTAACAAAAACACATGATGCATGGTGGACCATATTTTGAGTTGTGGTAAAGACTTTGTAAGAGCTTTCGATTGAAACGTTTATATATATAGTATTTTGTCCTGACTTTTTTACTTTCGTTATTTCTTTTTTCACATTACTTTAAATTATTTTCCCTTGAATTGATGATTTATCAAAGACATACTTTCGCTATCTCCAAGACAGAATACGATATACGTACACTTTGCCTTCCAAAATTAGCTTTTCTCTCTGTCTTGTGTAGTTAGTAAGATTTTGAAAGATCTCTTGCTATGATAAATAAAAGCATAAATTATTTTTTAATAAAAGAAAATGGTTATCAACGTCAATCACGCAACTATAAAAAAATAATATTAAAAATTGATCATCAAGGTGTAATATTTTTGGGGTTCAAATTTGAAGTTTGTAACACCTGATAACTTTTAGAACATTGTTATGTTAGTTCATTCGTTCATTTTAGTCATAATGTTGTGATTTCTTTTTTCCCTCTGCGGAGATCAAACTCTTATCAATAAGGTAACAATTTAAATAGCTAGCTAATCAAATAAGCTATTTAAGCTACAATCTTGCTTGTTTTTCTCAAAATATTAGGTGGCATAAATATTGTCTAGAGATTATAAAGGAAAAGTTAATATCGTTACCAACATAGTTCATGATGGGATGACTGAGATTCTCCCACTTTTAATCAGAAATATCGAATTTGAACTCCTAAGGATGAGAAAAATCATGTTGAAAGCGCCCCCAAAGAAAATATTAGAATAAAAAAAAATCTTATCAAAAACGCCGCCCCTAAATATGGCCCATTGCTTAACACCATACACAAATAATTATTATCAACATAATTTAATAATATCCCTATTAAAGAAACTGTATGTCTCTTAGTTCATATTTTCCTATTTTAGGTAAATTAGATAAATATTTACTTATTTAAGGCAGACAAAGAGTATCGTTCGATCTTTTATATTAATGTTGGTATATTACAATAATAATTCTCTCGTCTTTTGGATTTGCATCAACATAAGTATAAACTAAAAGAAGAAAGTAATAAAGTTAACTTTGTTTATAAATAGGTAATTATAGATAATTATTTACAAGAAATATTAAGCAATAACATGATAAAAATATAATTAACATACTATTAAAGTTTAGATTATAATAATAGTGTAACACAACCTAACTCTGTCAATTTATATAACGTAAATTCTCTATTTAGATATCTTAGATAATGTCATAAAGATTTTAAGTTTTTTTCCCACTTATGAAATAAAAAAATATTTATTAAATATATAATTATATGTAAATTTCTTGATGAGTATTAATAAGTAATTTGGTAAAAATAATAGTTAACTTTTTATTATGAGGTAAAATTTATCAATCGTGTACAAAGATCGATCTTTGATAATACTATAATTAGGCGTGAAGGTAAAAAGCTAAATATGAGTTTGGTTCAGATAAATTTAATAGATTTTATTTGAATATTATATTTTTTTTAAAAATCAATAAATAAGTATAACTTAGAACATGTTATTACTCGTTATTTTAGAATTTAAAATCATAAAATTTAAATCTCGATTCTACTTTAAAATACAATCGTGTTAAACTTAAATTCATTCACAAAAGCGCCGGCATTTATATATGTTTACCACTTTATAGACAACTTTAACCAAAAATCTAATATGATATTCTGTCCCCTAATCCAATCATATACATTTGGATTTCTCTGGAATTTTCCATCTAGTTTCTTTCACAAAAAGCAAAATAAATAAATAATAGGATCGTCTGTTCGGATAAGATGAGATATTTTAGAATTAAGATTATAACTAAATTTATATTTTATTTAATTCAATTTCGTGTTACTCTGTCCATCATGAATAAACACACGTTTGAAGTTCTAGATTAAGAATATTTTTTTGTCGAAAATCCTTAATTACAACAACTAGAAATAAAGATTTTTCTCGCTATAAATCAATGAAAATTTGTGCTATACAACATGAGTTTTCCACTCATTTCTCACTGAATCAATTCACTAGAAAAATGCATGATAAGAAACAGATTCTCACTTAAATGTAGGAAACTCTCTATTTTTCCGTAAGAAAACATTATTATTTTTGTTTTTCATTCTCACTAATTCAATCAAAATATCTATAAAAATAGCCACGCATTTTTCAGTGGAATGTAAAATAGAAAAACAATAATTTTTCAACACTACTATCGACATACTAGCGTCTACATTTTTCCTAAAAAAATATTTCAAAATTATAATTTCGTTATAACTTAGTTTACAAATTGAATTGATCCAAACCAAACCACCAAATACAATGAAACAGAAAAACAATGCACAGCAAAAAGAAAGGTAAAACAGTACATGTAACTCAATCATTTGATAGTTCTCAACAACCCTACAAATTTCACATGCATCACACTTTATTCAATATTTTCTTGAAAACAATGACAATTTTTTTGCACTTTCAAGAAAATAATTTATTATTATTTAAAAAAAAAAAAACAGAAAAATGACTTGATATATAACTTCCCTTCCCCCACCTATATAAGTTTATATATGTCCTACGAATTAACTAGACTTTGTGTTTCCACTTCGTGTCACTAAACAATGTCGTTTTCTTAGATCCTAAATCTTTTCATGTACGTAATTATCAAATAATTTTTTATCATAGATTCAACATTTAAAATTTATCGATTATATTATAATAATTTGTGTTTCAAAAACAATTTTTCACATTATGAAATTTCATTATATATGTTATTATTATTATACCTTATACAGTACACTGTCGATATATAAAATTTGAACTCTTTTCTAAATAGGGTATTTTCGTGGCATCGCGTATTATTTTTCCATGAGACATTGGGACCCCTAGTGTTGATCTTGGGTCATATTCTAAAAAAGCTTACACTCTCTTTTCTTTCTTTTTGAGATGTCATCAACCAATATATATACATTAATTATCTCTCTTTCCACACTCAAAAACAAGAAAAACATTTAAAAAAAAACAATTTCTTCATCCTAATTTATGTACACTTGTTTAACTAAATACATTTTTTTAGAAGGAAAGAAGACTTGAAGAACTTGTTCTAAAATAAGGCTTAGATATGTATGTGACAGTAATTTTTTTAAAAAATTAATACATTTTAAAAATAAAAAATGTAATATTCTTTTTAAGAAAAATTGGAAAAAGAAAAAAAAAATCATGTATATTAGAATATCATGTTTTATTTATTCTTGAATCTTTCAAACATGTTTTGAATAATATTTTTAACGAGTCGTGAATCTATTAAAAACAACACTTCTATCCCATAAAAATAATAAAAAGATCTCGCTATATAGTTCATTTCTTTTAAACCTCGCTTATGAAATCATACTCGAGCTGTTATAGTAATAGTATGTAAACTAGACAAGGAAAAAAAAACACACAAACTTCAAGAAAAAGAAAAAAACCTTTAAAACTAGTATAAATACCCCACACATGCAACAACTTCACTTAGACCTTATTTCCCATTTGCTTCCTCTTTCTCTCTCTTTCTTTCTATCTCAATTTCATCTCATATTTTGTGTATAATTTCCCTCTCCATAAAAACACACACACACACACACACTAACACATACATATATTCATACAAAAACACACACACAAAAAAAACTCTAGTTATATATATATATACATACATATATACAATATGGCGGAATTGGAGTTTCAAAGTAAGCATAATAATAATCGTACAAGCAACGGACGTTTAAAATTATTCGGTTTCAACGTGACGGAGGATCAAGAACAAGAGGTTGAATCGACAAAAACGTCGTCAGGATCGCCGGAATCCGGCAATTTTCCGGCCTCAGATGGCCGGAAATACGAGTGTCAATATTGTTGTAGAGAATTTGCAAATTCACAAGCATTAGGTGGACATCAAAATGCTCATAAAAAAGAAAGGCAACAATTGAAACGTGCCCAAATTCAAGCTAGTAGAAATGCATATATGAGGAACCCTATTATATCCGCTTTCGCGCCACCATCACACCTCCTCGCTCCCTCAGGAAGTGTGATGGTGCCCACGACATCTCCGTCGTGGGTTTACGTTCCCCGCCCCACGCCACCCTTTCACGTGTCGCATGGTTGTGTGTTCCCGAATTCTACGGGGGTGCGGGGTGTAGGGAACTTACAATATACCGGCAGTGTAGCGGAATCTAGCTTAACTAGTGTTGGGCCTCAACAAGTTAAGGCCCATAGTGCTAGAGTTGATGGGCCGTCATTGAGTAGATTTTCGGGTATGGATTCTGGACCCAATTTTGATGATGCATTTGGGCTGGATTTGCATCTAAGCCTTTGAATTAGTTTAAATTTTATCAAAAAATAGGATCTTGTATATCTCAGATTATTTATTTATTTTTTCACTCAAAGAAAAAAAAATTCCTTACATCCATTTTATGATATTTATGTCTTTTTTTCTACTTATTGTTTGCAAATTTAGAGTTCAAGTTATGTGAAATATTAAATTCGTTGTATTTGCATGTAAATATTCATGTGATATGTTAAAAGAACTTTAATTTTAAGTTATATCTAAACTTTTATGATGTGAATGGCTAAGTAAAAAGATTGATCTACTTTACCTTTTTACTTTTCTTTTATCCATACAACTTTCTCACTTGTCTATGATTCTTTTTTGTTTAGTATGATCATCTATCTATGTTAGCCTGATTGATTCAAATTTATATCACGTAAAATTTAAGGAATAAATTAAAAAAGTGTCCCCCAATACCTATATGAAATAAATTTAAAAAAGGCACCACACTAGCATCAAAATTTGTTATTTAATTAGTTGGAAATTATTTGAAATTATATAAAATTTGAGTCAAATCTATTAGTTCAAATGAACTCGTATTTTATTTATGCGCTACATTCACCTCTAATTATTGGAATCTTGTTCTATATACACAATCTAGATCACAAAACTTAGCCCTTGCATCCTTGTAACTTCATATATTAGAAGTTAATATTCCTTGATGTAAACTACTAATAATAAAACAAAACTAGTAATTTTATTAAATGGAATTAAAACAAATCTTGAAAGATATGTTTTGTTCTTCAAAAATTCTTAACTAATCCTTTGATATGCTTTATTAATCTTTGATCTCAAATAAAATACAATTGGTCCAAATGTGGGACCCAAACCTATCACACATGAAGACTATATCTAGTTCTCCTAGCTTTGAGATCTAGGGCTTGATTGGATGAATTTTTAAATTTTTTTTTGGATGAATTATGTATATATAGTATTAGTCAAGTGCTGTTCTTGAGTCAAAGCACAATTAGTTGTCTTTTAATTGTCTTCCACTTGAACAAAAAGAATTAAACTAAGAAAGCCTTGGTGGAAAGCTGTCCAAACAAGAACCATTTGTTACTACATATATAATGGGAAAAGACTAGGAGATTTTTAAGGGTGTGGAAAAGAGGGGTAGGGGGTTGGGAATTTGTTTTCTTATTTTAAAAAATTATAACACAAAGTGAGTGACTTCTTACTTAATCTTTATATATATATATATATATATATATATATATATATATTGATAGTATAAAGATTTTATTTGTTTGGATGGTTTAGATATATATCACTTTTTAGGCTGTATCAGAGCCATAAATTCAACAACAAAAACAACAATAACATATTCAGTGAAATTTCACGAGCTAGTGAGATTTTGGAGAGGAGTAGAATGTACGAAAACCTTCTACCTCGTGGAGGTAGAAGTCCGAAGCCAGAAATTCATTGAAGAAAATCTTATTTTAAAAATAATACTATGTCGTCATACCTATAATTTAAACCTATAACCAAAAGTAATTTTAGAACTCCATCTTGCTTATATCAAGGGAATTCAATAGATAATATATAACAAAATGATTCGTTTATGTCCAATTCGTGCTACACGATTTTTGTGTGAAGAAGACGATTAAGTTGAACCCCTTGCATCCCTTTAGCTTATCTATTATTTCTAAACTATCAATTCATGTTTATTATAAATATTTACATGTGTAAACTTTATATTGTAAATATCTTTTACAAGGTTAATTTATAGAACATAAAATTATGCTTGATTAGTATATATATATATAAGATGAGAGTTTGTGCTTAGTTAATTATGGATAAATAACCAATGGTTTTATGTGTGTTAACAAAGCTTACGTGTAGACACGAAAGCAAGATAATGCAACACTAAAAAAGGTGAGAAAAAGATAGCACCTAAATTAAAGTAAAATAAAATAAAATGATTAAGTGGGAAACTATTATGCATTTCTTTTTTTGGGGGCACCTTAGTTTCTTTTCGGTGCAAAAGTGAATATTAGTTTGAATTATGTTCATACAATATAATGGAAGGTCGGCTCTTTGCAATTAGTTGTGATGTATGTGTTTGTGTGTAGTAATGTATCGGAGGAGCAGATTCAAAATTTAAATTTATAAATATAGCCACATGAGTTTTCAAATATATGATTATTATGATTGCAAATCACAATCTTTTCTTTTATCTTTATTTCTTTCAATAAGATCACCACAACCCTCAATGTCAAAGTATATCATAAGACAAGAAAAGCATCCAATCTAAACTAATATTTCTTATTTTTTTTCTTTGTATTATATCATCCAATTGTCTTCCCCCTTTAATAATTCATTAGGTCCCTACATTAGTTTGCATCAAATCTTCTTCTAATAATAGTTCAAATATAGTATATAATTATCATTGCACCTTATTCAGTATCATATTATTTCATGTTAAAGTTGATTTAAATACAAACAAAAAGAAAAGAAAGTAGTCCTTGTGATACGAAATATAATAAATTATATTTATATACAATCTATAATATAAAATAAATAATATTCTACGTTTAATATGTTGTAACAAATCATTTACTCCCATAATTTGAGGGTTACCACACCATGCTTGCTCGTAAATAGATATAATGCTTACCCGACTATTAGGAATAAAGGTTTTTTTTAATGTTGTAAATGGGTGAAAAATATATGTATAGAACAAGACTTTTCACTCATTTTCTACAGAATCAGCTCACTAAAATATGCATGCTGAAAAACGAATTCTCACTGAAATAGTTAAAAACTTCCAAATCTTTATGTATAAAAACATTACTATTTGTTCTTTTCTGATAAATTCAATCAAAATATTTACCCACTGAACATATTTAAATACAGATTCAATCAAATTCAGTGATTTTAACTCAAATGATATATTTTAGTTCAGTAATTTGAGTAATCGATTGATTAATATTCCAAATCAAAATTTAATTTTACTGATCGAAAAGTTATACTGCATAAATAGAATAAAAATAACATAATTATACAAAATATTGAAGCTTCTTTAAAATAAGATAAATACATGCTCAAATCTCAGGTGTGACGTTTTTTACTTTTTCTAAATTCGTTTCTACTGCTATTGTGAAAATTTGAGCACTTGGAAGAAGAGAAGAAAGGAAAAAATGAAGAATTTCTTTTCTCCATTAAAAATATGAAATAATGATCAGGTTGAGAATCATTATTTGTCAGGTTCAAATTTAATAGAGGCGCGAAAAACAAATTTGGTGATTGTTTTGACTCTATTTACGCCTTAATGGGTAAAATTACTCTATATTTATACCGATAGAAAATAACAGATATCTTGTAATATTATGTATAAGTTAAATTCGGATACCACAATTATTAAAAAAAGGTTTCTTCTAAGAGCTTTTTGACATATGAGTAGTACAAAGTGAAGCAACTCTTGAAGTGGTTGGTGAGGCAAAAGAACTTGGAAAAAATCAATCTCATTCCCACAACTTTTGTCTGATCATGAAACAAAAAAATAACTTAACCCCTATAGTACTCATAGCTAGCTGTTTTTTTAATTATATATTATATTCTTTTTTTCTTAGAGGGCCCAATAATTTCTCCTTCATTAGTGCATTTTTAAGTGATGTAGACATCCACTTTCTTAATTTAATTAATCAAGAATTTTTTTTTTAAAATCAATTGTTTTGTCACCTTCCACTCAAGTTCTTATATGAAGCAATATTTATTTATAGAAGTTAATAAAAAGACAAAAGGAGAAGACTCATCATATTATAAATATTATATGCTAGACAATATAATTTTTATAATAAAGGTTTTGTGGTTTACTTTTGTCTCAATCTATAAGTTCAAACATCACTTGGTGAAAGCTAGCTAGCTCCCTCTAAGTGAGGCAATCATGCTAAATTGATGGAACAAATTAAAGTACCTTTCATAGTAGATAGCTTGCTATATTACTTCACATGATCACAATCAACAAAATAAAAGCCCCACTTCTATGAAATATTAGATAACTCAACCAATTACAAGAAAAAGGTGATTTAACCCCTCCACCCCCCCCCCCCCCCACACACAAAAGATTTGAATTAATATACACATATCTCAATTAATTTTATGAGGTATCTATTATCTTTCATCAATTACAAGTATCGAGTAAACATTTCATCAACACTTGGACAGATGGAGAGAACATCACCTAGTATTTTTGGTCTTTATTGAGATTTAAAGTACTTGACCGATCATGATTCCTAATACACTCGATCATTAACCTCTAGATGGGAGTCGGATCTAGAAGTTGACGTACTCAATATGTAATTTTAGTTTAAACTATGTATTTAAATTAAAAAAATTAATAAATATGTGAACAAAAATTAAATTCAAAACTCAATTACTATCGTAACATTTTATGTCAATAATCTAGAATTTGGAATTTGTCAAGTTCAAAACTTGACTTCACCTCTCCTAAGTTATGCTCCGGAGTGCAAGGTACGTAATTTAACTTATAAACATCGATAATGTACGATTTAACATATTATAACATATCGATAGCTAATTAATGCTTTTATTATAAAGAGTAATTGTTAGGTGCACAAATAAAAATATAGGGCAATGATTTAATATTTGAGTCATATCACATGCCTTGGGTTCAACTATAGTCCAATCAATTTTGCATGTTGTATCCAAATATAACACATAGGAGCAAATGGGATTTTGTTTTTTAGCGGATTTTTTGCCATTAATGGTGAATCAAATTCTTTTTAAGTTATAGTGGGTTATGCAATCACAATCCTTCAATCTATACCTTTCATTGTACTTAATTAGGTGTTCTATTATTTGTTAATGAATTTTCCTCTCCATATATTATATATCGAAATTCCTTTTCAGTTCTTTCACTTCATCGAGCTTCCTTTCAGCCCTCTCAATTATTAGTACATTTATTTTTAAAAAAAACATTTATATGTGTTTTTAATGGCAATTTTTTTTAATTGCTTAAATGTTATAAAATAAATTTTAAAAAGTGGTAAAGTCATACAAATGTTATGGTGTATGTAAAATCATATCAAAGCTTAACTATACTTGCAAATAAATTGGTAACTTCAAA